ATCAGAGCGAGAGAGAGCCCGAGAGAGAAACAAAAATAGAGCTAGAGAGAGAAAGATAGAACAGCTAAACGGCAATAAAAAAACCCAAAATTCCAAGAATTCGCTATTCCCTCAAAATTGGGTCCCAAACCCCGGGAACGCGAGTTTCCAAAACCTATCAAATATTACCCTCCCCTCCGACCATCGCAATATGCCAAATTGGCCCCCGAGGGTAAGCGCGGGTTGTGGAATTCGCCGAAATTCATATATCGTCGGCGCAAGGGGTACCCGAAGTGGGAAACTAGGCAATGCCCACGCATCGCACCCCATGCTCCGAGTGGCTGGACATGAATCCCTGATTCGCCGTGGTCACTCCGATGGCCGCCTGACAAGTGGAGGGTGCAAAAAGTAGCGAGCTGTACAAAGTGTTGTGCGCGCAAGTGGCGGTTTAGGGAATAACACAGGCGAGCAGCAGCCTGTAAAAATTCAGAAAATTCCTCAAACCAAAAACTTGGAAAAGGTTAAGGGCAGTTATTGTAAAACCCCGTCAAAAACAATTAAATTTTAGTCGCACAACGTCAATGAATAATTTTCATTGGGCTAAATTTTGTTTTAGCTGATAAATGGGATAAAAACACCGTTTAGGCACGCTCCCAGGGCAATTGCGCGACAATCTCGTAGATCTAAATACTCGCGCGACCAGCCATCGACGGAATGGGGCCTTATTTGCCGATAGGATCTGGATTGAGAGCTGGCGAGGTATGGAAAGGGCCGGATCATCGGAGGTGGCAAGATTTAGAAAGGAAGGTTCAATCGATTCAAAAAAAAGAAAAGCGAGAGAGAGAGAGAGAGAGAGAGAGAGAGAGAGAGAGGGAGAGAGAGAATGGTTTCTTGAAGACCAGACAACCAAAAATAGTTCCAGATTCTCAAACACGACACCCTGGTATGCAGACTGGCTCGGATTTACCCCCGGCTCATCCCCCTTCTCACACCCCATCCGACCCACCAACCCATTCCGCTGATTAAAAATGCGAATATGGCCATTTGGTGAGTGGGCCAGGGTGGCAAAGGGGATCATCAGCATTTCTCCATATGGATTTTAGTGGAAAATCAATATTTCACGAGATAAATTGATTCATCGATTTAAAAAGTACGACTTATGAAGAGAAAAACTGTTTTATGGACTGACCTAAAAAAGAACATTACAAAGATACAATTTAAAAGCATTTATTCATTGATTCATTCAAAGCATTCTATTCAATCAGGGTCGTAGATCAAGATGCTAAAAATTAGAACAAGTCGGACGCTCACTTTCAAATTATCATACATAATACGAATTTATAAAAAAAACATGGATAAAAATAACGCTGGAAATTTATCATAGGGCTCATCGGATAGGCACTACATACCCAGCCTAGCCCTCTAAAAAAATCTGGAAGCTGTCAAAAACAGAACTGAACACTTTTTCGGCTCAAAATGGAAAAGAACCTGGTTAAAGATGTGCGCTGGAGCGTAGCGTATCGTATCATGACCCCAGATACCTATTTGGAAGGTGGCTGGCTAATGAGGATGGGCTGTTTTTTTTTGGGGAAATTGGGATTCGGTTCTTCCTATTCGGATCCCCTCAAGGGAGATAATCCCCATACGCCGTCCCGATTGGATCGGCCGCCCGCCTTTTGATCCTCATTTGACAGGACGCGGCCCGAGGCAATTTGTTGCGTGGAATGGGGCGAGCAGGTGTTTGTATAGTAATCGTGTAAGATAGCATCGAAAAACCTCGAAAATTCAGAAGCTAAAAATATCGAATTCTTTGGAATTGTTCTCTTTCTGTCTCTCTCTCTCTCTGTCTCTCTCTCTCTCTCTCTCTCTCTCTCTCTCTCTCTTTATCACCCCGTGTTTTAGATGCAATTCAACGCCAATAGGTCCACAAATATCATCTCCTCAAGGCAGTCGCATTTCAGTGCCGGTTCCATTCCCCAATGCATCGTTAGGTTGATTTTTTAGGCGTTTTGAGCATTTATATTTTTCCCAGATTCTCGTGCTCCTGGCGCAATTGGAAAGCACGCAAGGATTCAGTAATTATAGTGCTCGGTAGGTTTTCTTGTTTTCAAGTGACAAAATGACCTATTTTTGTGTTCAGACGTGATTTTCACTCTGTTGTCTCTAGCTCTGTTGCTCTACGCGATCATGCAAATGACGATCCAGAATCCGCACATTACCCTGAATTCCCAAACGGAGACGTAGCGATATTACATAAGCCTATACCCATATTATCAAGCGGTTTTATACATGACGCTGAAGGTTCCAATACCATATACACCGTGCATCAAATCAACATCTTTAATCAGCCCATAGAAACTAAGGATCGAAAACTGGTGTACAAAGAGAATCGGTCAATCTTGCCCCTAAAAACTTTGTCATCATCACAGGCAAGCCAGCGTTGTATCGGGAAGCACCAAAAATGAAAATTGGGAATTTGATCGTAACGAGATGTTTGGATTTGAGGTTGGGAAAGCAAATTCTAAAACACAGTTGGCAGTGAGGAAAAATTGGAAAAGCTATTTCTTGAAAATTCCGGCCTTCGCGGCTCGGCATATTAGATGTCGCATGGCGAGGGCATCAAGTTTTCGGAAATTTTCTGATTGCGTTACGGCGGCCATGTGATCGATGCAACTGAAAAGAAACAGAATCATTTTCTTTTAGGAACTCCTACATTTTTCGTTGTAAATTCAAAACCTTAATTATTCTTAATTTTAATTTTATAAACTAAATTCTGAAATTTTCTGATCCTACAATCTATCAAGGAGCTGAGGCACAGAGAGGGAGAAGGAGGGGTGAGAGAACGAGAGAAAGGGAGGGCGAGGGAGAGAGTGAGAGAGAGAAAGAGTGAGAGATAGAAAATGAGTTATTTTTACGTCCAGAATCTACACCAACGATCTCTGCAACTAGATCCTAATGATCGCTGCTAGTATCCTATGATCCCCAGAAGCCCACAATCGATAGCAGCTGTCCTCCAGTTCCGGCGCGTCAAATTGCAGCCCAGCCGCGTAGAGGGCGGCCGCATTTTCCACGCAGATCCCTTTACGTAAAAAGGTTTCGCATCGGACCTTCAGACTGGTCTCCAGGTAGCAGGTGGCAAGTTCAAGAAGTCCTAAAACGCAAGGTTAACGTCAGCCTTTATGTTTTAAGATACCAATCGCATCATCCGGGTCCACCACCAGCTCGTCCGTATACACCCAATGCATGAACGCTCTCACAGTGTTGTAGGAAAAGTCGGAGATTTCGATTTGGCTAAAAACGCGATGTCATTATCCTTTTAAGACGTAGAGATCTGAATTCTTGTCAAGCTTTATATACTGACTTTCCGGACCCTTCTGACCAAAGCTCGCCAAGCCGAGACTTGAAGTATGGGCATCGGAGCTTTAGGATTGCCTGAAAAATGTCTATGGTTCAAAAACAAAGGAAATCTCATAGATATGAATGTTTATTTCGAAATTCGCAATATAGCAAAAAAATCCTGCATACAGCAGGATGATCCTGAAGAAAAATCCTGCATAATACGGCTGCAAACTACAAAAATAAGGTCCGGTTACGCTAGAAGATACCTTGTGCGCATAAATGACGTGCCCTTCGACCACAATCCTGATGTCTGATGATGACGGATCGTCGAGTGCAACCCTCATCGCATCGATCAGAGAAGGTTGACGTGGATTTTCTAGAACAGATTGGTTATTTCCACACTCAAATCGCAGAGGCTAGCTTGACCAAGCCATCGCTCCTCCTTCTGCTGCAAAACCCACCAAAACGCGTCATCCGAAAAGTAACAGCCGGCGAGGCAAAACAGGCAAAAGCATCGTCAACACATGGAAACCTCGTCTCCACTGGGCTTGTGATAGATTGACCACGAACGTTTCCCCACATAAATACCTTAAGTTCGTCCGTTTAGGTGTTTTGATACCTCATACTTACCTTCCCCTTCTTATTGGCGACTACCGTGATGTTGCAAAGGTGTGTTGCGGCGACTTCTACGACCCTGAAAAATGTCGATTGGACGGCACGTGGTGTTTTATGCTCAAAATTGAAGCTTACTTACCTATCGATATCCTTGGCCGTATGAACGGGCTCGGTAAGGTTCTTCCGCATCAGGTTTCCACCCAGCTGCCCGCACCCGTTGGATCCCCATACCCAGAGGCGACCCTCATCGCATAGCGCCAAACTGTGGGCATACCCGCAGGCGATCTGAATTCGATGAGTTACAGACAGATAGAGCGAGATAGAGGGCGAGAGCGAGTGAGCGGGAGAGACAAAGGCTTGTTCAGTCGTAGCTAAGACCAGCGATATCTCCTTCCTTCAATACCACCTGCCCAACCTGGAAGGAGGGTAGGCATCCCAGTTTCGCCCCCCACAAAATAAGTTTCCTGAATCAGCATTTTCTAATCGCTGCTACTTCGGAATTCCTACATTTCTAGCCATGTTTTCTGATGTCCTCCCATTCCGAGAACTGATTCTGACGCTCGGAATCTGTACCGGGATCCCATTATTTATATTTTTGCTGTATCTGGCAGTTGTCGCTACCCCAGCCGCAAAGGATCAGATGAGGTTCTAATTTATTGACTGTTTGGTAGGAGAAGGGGGACGTGTTAAGGTTATGGGTGGAATTGCAGATCGCTGCTTGGTTCCTGAGCCTTGTGAGTGCCGTCATATTAAGCTACCAATTCTAGGCCATCTTCGGGTTAGCTTCCATCAACTGCTGTCGTGCGAATGCAAATTCCTTCAAATACCGCTTTGAATGTGTGGTTTTCGCATTCACAAAGAGCACTGGTTTCGCATCAGGCCTTCACTATATCTCTTTTTAATCGATCCTCCCGTTTGCCTATTTTTGGTGATATGCTACGCCTTTGGGCTATCGTCAAAGGTCCTGAAAATTGCATGTGAAATCCCCGCGCATTGAAATAGCGTTTTTAGAACTTGTCAACCATTTTCGGTCAGAAAATATTATCCGTCGAGCCACTACAGTTATTATATTCGCCTTCTTATATCATACCCACGGCCAAAATGTGCATAATATATTTTTCCATTTTTTTCTTCCTCGTCGGCGCCACGGCCTTTTTCCTATTCCACAGCCGAACGGTTCAACTTCCTTATCGCAAAAGACGTTTTACTCGCAGCGCCTAGCTTTCTATATGCTGTTCTTACAGGTATTTAGAAGGTCCTAGAAGGTAATGCAAATTTAAAGAGCGTTGCTACTCTGTTGCGCGGAGGTGTTCTTGCGGCACTAACCGCAATTGTTCTGATGTCCAAGTCCGAAGGGCTTTTACCAGGTTAGAAAGTGAGAGAGCGATATAAAGAGAGAGACAAAGAGAGAGTGGGCGAAAGAGCGAGGGAGAGAGAGGAGAGAGAGAGAGAGAGAGATGGAGAAAGAGAGAGATGGAGAGAGAGCGCTAGAAAGACAAGAGAAAGAGCGAGGGAGAGAGAGGAGAGAGAGAGAAAGAGAGAGAGAGAGGGGGGAGAGAGGGGGGAGAGAGAGCGCGAGCGGGAGAGGGAGAGAGAGCTATATAAGGAGAGAGGAGACAGAGAGCTAGAGAGCGAGAGAGAGAGAGCGAAAGAGTGAGAGAAAGAGAGGGAGTGAGAGGGTGAGTGAGATATCAAAAGAAAGTGCTTTTTTAGCAACCAACTCTTTACTATCACCTGTTCTGCCTTACTATATCCACATCGACACCTTAGCCCTCCTCTTCACAACCCGACCATATCTAATCCACACGCTACGTCTACTCCTTGGCAGGACGACACCATCTACGCCGATTTCATTTTCGTTCTACTTTACTTCTACTAGACTTCCCATCTGCATCTTAATAAAAAAAGAATTGTCATAAAGTTGAAATAAATGGAGATATTGCATGTGACTTCAACATTGTCCACCGAGACTACTTGGGGTTTCTAGCGCCCTAATTAGGGTCGGACAGGCGCCCGCAAAGGATCTTGATTTCCACCTGCGGCATCGGTTATTGAAAACATACCGCTTGTTCGTTCATAACCTTCCCACGGCACCTCGTCTCCGCAGGTTTTTCGGTGAGATTTCAATTTTGTTCAATGTTTTACGATGTCATGCGATTCCGTGAATTACTGCTTACGCTCGAAATCTGTATCGGGATTCCACTATCTATATTCTTGCTGTATCTAGCGGTTTTCGCCTCTCCGGCTGCGATGCACCAGATGAGGTTCTACCTCATGGACAGCTTGGTGGGTGAAATGGCGCGCATGGTTGTCTATTGAGCTTCAGGTAGCTGCCCTGCTTGTGAGCCTTGTAAGCTCTATCGTATTGGTGCCGTATATCGTAAAAGATATGGATAATATGGAAATGTTATCGTTGAGTCTGAATTGTCTTGCAAATCCGGATGGCAATGATCAGTTGGCCTGGGTGGGTTTTTTTCATGACTTAAGTTATCTTTTACAAAGAGAGAAAGAGAGAGAGAGAGAGAGAGAGAGAGAGAGAGAGCGAAAGAGAGCGCGAGAGAGACCGAGACCGAGCATGCCAATTTTAGTCCCTATTCGGACTCGCCGCCATCAACTCCTGTCGTGCCAATGCAAATTCTTTCAAGTACCGCTTTGAATGCGTCGTTTTCGGCACATACAAAGATTATTGGCGCAGTATAAGGCCATTATTATACTTTTTTCTATTCTATCCGCTTATTTGTCTATATCTAATAATATCCTATGCCTTCGAGGAAGCGTCAACAACCCTGGATATGGTACGTAAGCTACCTCATCCCAAAACGCGCTTGTCAGAACATATTAAGCCTGTCTGGCTGGAAATCGATATCCGTCCGATCTCTACATTTGATATATTCGTATTACTATATTATACCGACGGCCATTTTGTGCATCATCTACTTTTCGATATTTTTCTTTCTAGTCGGGGCGACGTTCTATTTTCTGTTTCGCAGCCGGGTGGTGGCCCAAAAATTGTCGCGGAAAACGCTGAAATCACAGCGGCTAGCGTTCATTATGCTGTTGGTACAGGTAGTACGAAACTTTCATTATATTATACAAAATTTAGAGCGGCTCCACGCTATGTTGTGGTGGACTTGTGGTTTTATTTACTATTATTAGCCTACTTTCTAGGGATGAAGGGATGCAGGGAGGTAGAATTTAAAGAGAGAGAGAAAGCGAAAGAGAGAGAGAGAGAGAGAGAGAGAGAGAGAGAGATTTACAGAATCCTTCATTGCAACATTCGAATGATCTTTTAGTGACTAACCTTCTACTATCATCAATTCTTCCCGGATATGTCCACATCTACGCCCTGGCACTTTTACTAACAACCCGACCATATCTAACACACACCCATCGTCTGATGTTTGGCTGGATTGGACCATCCACTTCCATTTCTATGACCTCGCAAATAGCCAAATAAAATTAAAACACTCTAATTACGACGACCAGTAAAACTCCAACACCCGACAGTACTGATCCTTCGCGTGCTTTCGGTCGTTAATACTGAAAGCACCTGCTTTCAAGGGGTTGATGGAACAGAGAGGCTACCATGAATTTTCCGCAACGAATTTTCAGCAACTTCATGGGAACGAATTTTCGGCAACTACAAACTACGTCTGCGTCTCTCCGTCTCCCCTATCTCTCGAGTTGCCGAGAATTCTTTGCGCAAAATTCGTCGCCAAAAATTCATGGTCCCACAGAGAGATGAAAGGGGAAAGTTTGGAGCCCAGAAAAAGAAACCAATATAGCCCACCTGGCTGATTACGGTATTGGAGATGCTGAGGGTTTCGACGAGGACCGGGCTCACTTGAGTGCTAACGTTGCCGCAGCCGACTTGGCCATTTTCGTTGTAACCCCATGCGAAGACCTGAAGTTGAAGTCTGTACTTAATTTTCAATATTCATTTATCCCTCTATCCCTCTCCATCACGCTCCCTCTCTCTATCGCTTTCTCTCTCTCCTCTCTCTCTCTCTCTCTCTCTCAGTTAGGAATTACGGGGTCCCATGGCCATGGACTAGCTCCGGGTCCAATCCGCAAAACAAGTGCTCCGGGCGGGGGTCGAACCCGCATCCTACGGCTTTCGAGTCCGATGCTCTACCTATTGAGCTACCGGGGCACGCGCAATGCCTCTCTCAGGGCAGCTATCCATGCCAGCCCCTCACATCCAACCTCTCTCTCTCTCTCTCTCCTCTCTCTCTCTCTCTCTCTCTCTTTCACAAACCTCCCCATTCTCCGTCAAAGCCAGGGTAAAGTTGTGCCCGCAGGCGACATCCTTAATCACGCGATGGTGTAAATTGGATTGGCGCGGAGTGTCCTGGTTGATCGTCGAGCCGATGCCTGAAAAAGATGCGTTCGTTGGCGACTCTCGTGCTCGACAGCAGGAATTGACCCTCAGAAAACTGACCCAGCTGGCCGCTGCTATTGAGGCCCCAGCAAAAAAGTTCGCCCCGGTCGCTGAGGGCGGCAGAATGGTGTCCGCCACACGCGATGTGTACTATCTGAATTAAGAGGGTTGGGGTGGGTACGTCAGACTACAAATGACGATTTTGGAGAGAGAGAGAGTGAGAGAGAGAGAGAGAGCGATAGAGAGAGTGAGAGAGGGAGAGAGAAAACTCTCTACTTGCCTTTTGTCCTGTCAACAGTCCAGTGACCAAAACAGGGGTGGGACAATGCTGATTATTATGTCCAAGCCCTAAACATACCAAATACCTATCCTCTTTCCAATTTTCACATACCTAGCTGCCCGAACGAATTATGCCCCCACGCGAAAACCTCTCCAATCTCAGAAAGTGCCAGCAGGTGAGGTCCTAAACCAGAAATTATTTTCCGTTTCGTGATCACCCTCACCCGATCCATATCCAAACTTCCGGATCCGTTTCCCGCACAGCAGATCGATTTTGATGGGCTCAAACGAGCTGGAGGGGACGCCTAAAGGTTTTTTGGGTTTTTGGAAGTTTTTTTCCTACCTAGCCAGCAGCAATAATTCGTGCCGAGGCCGTAGACCTCGTCGTCTTTCGTGTGGATTAGGGCCTCGCAACCGGCACTGCCGAACACCACGCACTCCTTGAGAAATGGGGGTTTTTCGGAAAAGCAGGGAAAGCACGTTCGGGGGATTGGAGCGGAAAAGTTGCGGAAAAAATGTAATTTTATTTTGGCAATGGTTTCATGGGAAATGAATAATTTTTTTCAATTAAACTTACCTTAATATTTTCCACAAATCCCGGCTCGAGCAGCGACAATATCGTCCACCTCTTGATGTCCGACATCCCGCACGGGGCTACAGACTACACTACACTACCTGGAAACGGGAAATGTGGGGAGGAATCTGCCGGAAATTGGTGGAAATGATGGGGCAAGTGCCTGGTGACGGTGGAAAATCGTGTAGGTGCCGAATGGCCAATTACCCGGAGATGAACTCCACGGGAGAATCGTCAGAAAAACAGAACGGAGTATGAGGACCGGTCTTGATGGGTTCACGGGATTGGGAAGTTACTAGGAATGATGAGATGAAGAGGAATTTTCAGAGGGTAGGTTGTATAAAGTGCAGAAAGTCCTGTAGATTTAAATTTAGTTTCTTAATGAAAGTTGACGCTGCAAAGAGGCATCAAGCGTCAATATCTATCCGGAAAAATTGCAGGTGCGTCACTCAGCAATGATAGTTTCTAAAAATTCATAGGAACGTGTGTTACCGCTGCAACTTATTAAAATTCCGGAAGATAATTTTTTATCAATCAATTTTCTAAACTGACCTTTAAGGCGTCAAAAAATTGCTATAAATAAATTTCGTTGCAATGCGTATTCTCATTTATTAGAACTTCAGAAATATTCAAAAGATATATTGACTAAACCGCCCTAAAATTCCGTAAAATTTTGTATAGAAGCCATCGCCTGGCGGGTACTACAAATAGGATAATGTGCGCGTGTGTGTGTTCGGAGCACCAAAATAATTGGCGCCCTTTGAAGGAGTAGTAGCCGCTCCACTGAAAACAAGGAAGCTGTTTTTGGGGCGAAAGCAAGGTTGAAGTATTTTTGGTCTATTTTCAGGCTATGAATTTCAGAAATTTCATGTGAATTTTATGACGATGTGTCCCAATAATAGGGACGTGAGAAGCCTGCGTGATTTTTAATGCCCAAGCGAGCAGGTGTTAGAATAAAGATAAGGGTTTTTTAGGAATGGATCGTAGGTAGAAATGCGATTCTCCCTAAATTGAAGGCCCCAAGGATTATTCATTCGGTCGGCGCGCCGTATTCGGCGGATGAGTCTTACAGCAAAACAAGGACGCTGTGCGAACGGAATTTTTTGAGAAAGCCTTTTCTTCACGAGAATACACATGGTCTTGACTTCATCCTACCTTATATAATTTTGGAATGTATCTCTGTGTGTGTGTGTGTGTGGATGTCAGGTTCGAGGCCCGATTTGAGGGCCTTCCCGTGTTCAAAATGCCCTAATTCTCCGTCACCCGGGGGAATCGACCCTCCTCTTTCCGATGGCGTTTTCAGAATCCCGATAAAATCCCAGTTTACAAAGTTAAGGCCGGTTTTATTGATTTTTGGGGGTCCGGGAGGGCTAATTTGCATAATGTGAAAAAATACAAATTTGCTCATTCTTGCAAGTTGCACGCGCCCATGTGGTCGGCTGCGTCTAACTACCAGGCCTTTCCCCTGCCATGGCAGTGCCCCCGGGGGCATAAACTCCCGTATTACGCCCCACGATCAAAGGGGCGTATGGTGTAGTGGATAGTAGTTCGGCTTGCGAAATTTTCGATCGCAGGTTCGGTTCCCAACTTCACGAGTTGTTTTGCTTTTTGCTCCGGAAGTATGTTTTCGCCCGGATTTCCACGAAATGTTGTCTAAAAAATTAAGTGATCGCCTGCATATTCAGTTTTCGAAAACTTCCGCCGGAAATCCGGAAATAAAGCACGTGCTTGGAAGCCACCGGGGAGCAAAACATTTTACGAAACCGTCCGCATCATCCGGCTCGCCTCCATCGAGCTCCATGGACCCTGCGCGCGGCCCATCGCCTCCCGAAGAGCCCGACCCGCCGCGCCATGACGAGCCTGGCCCCGGACTCCGTCATTTCCGCGCACCGGTGCCGCCTGTGCTTTCAGTTCCCGTTCCGGATAGTGCGCTATTCTCTTCCCAAGAGTTTCTAGCCTATTCCGATAGAATTGGTAAGCATAATTTTTTTGAATGAACCTTCCGTCTCGAAGGGGGGTGTCCAAACTATTTTCCTCACGTTTAGACTTTGTTTCAGCATACTTTGATGCACAATTCGAACCGACTTCCGATGACGATATTTTATCAGAGTTTTTCGTGCCTTCCGCCTCAAGTTCCCGCGTCGCGCTGAGCCGAAGCAGCACCAGCACCGTACCACGACAATATCGTAATCCGGACTCCCTTACAGATTGGCCGACAGGTCGATGCTTTGACGGTCCAAGACAGTGTTCTCATCCCTTCAAGCCCAGCTGTCAGTGATCAACCGGAATTCTCCGCGTTCTCTGACACCTCGGAATACGCCGATGATCCGTCAGATTTTTGCCCGTATACAGACCCGATTGGTAAGTCACCATGCTTCATAAGGGATGAACACGACAAAACAATTCATACAAAAAAGCCATTTTGAGGCTACTACGACTACCACGAGCCACTTGATGCGCTGTCTCCAGCTCCGAGAGCCTCACAACAGCCTGGCCCGTCTCGCCCGGACACCAGCATTCCTCTTCGCACCAGCACGCTGCCCTCCTCTTTCAACTTCTCCCAGCAGCCTGGCCCGTCTCGACCCGATACAAGCATCCCCCACAGCATTAGCGATTCCCCCCACAATCGTTCTGTTATTGTTATGACTGAAAGTGCCCAGAAAAAAAGCAAAACAGCCACGATCCAAAATATCGGCTGAAGAACGTGCCAGGATCGCCAGGAACACGAAAGACAAAGCGATTTCGCGGCGTCAGGCCTCAAAAGACTCCATCAGCGAGCAATATTCCCGTGCGAACTCTCAAAGGAAAAAAGCTCGCCTGGAAGAGACACCGAGTCAGCAGTCAGCTCGCCGTGAAAAAAATGCTTTACGGATGGCCAACCTCCGTGCAAAAGAAAATGAATCGGAAAAGTTTGATCGTAACCGCGCTAATGCCGTGAATATGCAGAACAAAAGAGCCTCTGCGCCGCCTCACATTGTTGCAGCATGGCGAACCGCCAATGCCCACTCGACTTCGCAGGGACGTGCTCGGGAGACAGGCGAGGAACGGCGCGCCCGAAGCTCCAGAAACGCCGTTGCAACTTCTCAAGCACGAGCCATGGAATCTTCGGCGGAACGTAGGTCACGCCAAGCGCGTGATGCAGAGCGGCATGCTGAACAAGTATCAAGTGAGGAAACCGGAGAACGCATGGCTCGACTCCAGCGTGTTCGTGAAACTAATCAAATTCTGCGCGCGGGTCAGCGAAACACTACGCGTCGGGGGGCTGGAATAGCCCGCATCCCTAACATTTGTCCCGATGAGCACTACCAAGGCCATATGGGTCAAGCCTGCACGCAATGCGGTGCGTTGCATTGGCTGGGAGAAACCCAGACCGCTGGGGCCTTTAGCCAATGTTGCCGGAAGGGGAAGGTGTCGCTAACGCTTTTGCAGGATTTCCCCCAACCCCTCAAGGACCTCTACACAGGGCAAGACCCGCGCTCAGCAGCCTTCCTCCGCAACATCCGCAACTACAACAACAGCCTGGCCATGGCGTCGATGGTCGCCAAGCTCGATTTGCCGCCCGGACGTGGTCCGCAGCCGTACCGAGTGCACGGGATGGTGGTGCACCTCACTGGGCCGCTCCGCCCCGAGCAAGGCCAACAGCCGCAATGTGCGCAGGTTTTGATTTTAGATTCGGGAGAGGCAGCCGAAGAGCTGGCTGGCCGGCCAGTCAACCGACAATGTGACGAGTCCCTCTTCCGCGATCTTCACGCGATGCTGCAAGGCTGCAACCAGCTTGCCCAGGCCTACATGATGATGGACGAGGTGGCCAAACAAGAAGAACGGGCGGCAGCCGCGGATGGTAGGGCCAGACGCGAGGTAACAATGGTCTTCGAAACGGACAAGCGGGACGATCAGCGGCGCTACAATGTAGCGAGTGCTAACGAGGTCGCTGTGGTGTATGTGGGTAATGAAGAAAATATTCCAGGTGAGCGGTGGCTCATGGTGAAGGAGAAAAATGGAAATGGCCAATTGCAGAAACTCAGTTACCTTGACAAGAGGTGCGAGCCGATGGTCTATCCGCTGCTCTTCCCAAGGGGGGAACCCGGGTGGCATCCAAATTTGGCCCGCCAAACAGTCGGTGCTCACACGCGAGTCACGCAAAAAGATTACTACGCATTTTTCCTCTTCGTACGCGCCCAGTTTAATCCGCTTTTCCTCGCCTCAAAACTCTTTCAGCAGTACATTGTCGATTCTTGGCTCAAAGTCGAGCAGAATCGGCTCAACTACTTTAAGCAGAACCAGAAGCAATGTCGGCTCGATACTGTACGCGGGCTACAAGACCATCTGAACTCGGACGATGCGGGGCCAGCTGGAAGGCGCATCGTACTTTCTGCTGACCACCAAGGTAGTGACCGAAACATGGTGAGGAATTACCAAGACTCGCTCAGCTTAGTCGGGTTCTACAACAAGCCTGATCTCTTCTTGACAATTACTTCAAACCCAAATTGGCGCGAAATTCAGGAGGCTTTGCTTCCCGGACAGCAGGCCTTTGACAGGCCGGACTTGATTTCCAGGGTATTCGCGCTCAAAATGGCTGCCCTCGACAAGGCGCTTTTCAAGGAGCATTGTCTTGGTGAAGTCGAGGCCCATATTTCAGTCATAGAGTACCAGAAACGAGGCTTACCACATAGGCATATGCCTACTATGGCTCGAGGTAGGCTGAAAGCCAGTGACGCCGGACGAGGTCGACGAGCTGATCTCTGCCGAGTTGCCGGACCCGGTCGCTGATCCGCGGCTGTACGAGATCATTTCCAAGTCCATGATGCATCGGGCGTGTGGTGTCGATAACCCGACCTCACCGTGCATGCGGGATAACAAGTGCACAAAAGGGTTCCCGAAAGCTTTTCAGCAAGAGACCTCTATTGGAGGCGGTGGGTATCCCAAGTATCGTCGCGAGAGCAATGGTCGAACCGATCGCTCTGGCCGGCTCGACAACCGCCACGTGGTTCCGTACAATAGGTATCTTTGCTTGCTCCTAAACGCGCACATCAACCTCGAGGTTTGTGCATGGCTGGGAGTAGTCAAGTATTTATTTAAATACGTTTACAAAGGCACAGATCGGGCTCGAATCCGTCTGACTGCCACCGGGGAAAACGGACCGCGTGACGAAATTCAGGATTACATCGACGCTCGCTACGTCTGCGCCCCGGAAGCAGCCTTTCGCATTTTTGGTAACCAGATGCATGATCGCTCCCACGTGATCACCCGCCTGATGGTCCATTTGGAAGGGTTCGAGAGTGTGGTATTTTCAGACGGAGCCGAAGCAGAGGCTCTAAACGTTGCCCGAAATCGAAAAACAACCCTTTCAGCATGGTTCGCTAAAAATGTGGAAATGGCAGATTTAGAGGGAAATGGTGGGATCCCGGCCGGTATCGTTGACTCGCGACAATTCTTCTACGCTGAAATGCCCAAGCATTTCACATTCCAGACCAATGGCACGTGGAAACAACGGGAAAAAAATACCGAAAAGACGATTGGTAGGATTTATTTTGTGTCGCCAAAAGACATGGAACGCTTCGCAATGCGCACGCTTCTGCTGTACAGAAAGGGTATCACGTCTTTTGCGGACCTGCGCACAATTGGCGGTACCGTATACCGTACATTCTTGGAGGCGGCGATCGCCGGCGACTACTTGCCGACGATAGTCACATTGCGCACTCTATGCGAGAAGCTGCCCTTTTTCAGAATTTGCCCGGTGAATTGCGCGCCTTTTTTTGCCTGTCTCTTGGTGCCAATGTCGAAAACCACTCCCCGGTCGCGCTTTGGGACAGCTACAAAATGCAGCTGTGCGAGGATTTTATGCATCAGGGGCTCGAACCCGCCGTGGCGATCTCCCATGCTTTCTGGGATATTGCCGAGAAAATTGGGGACTTGAACCGTGACATTAAGGAATTTCTCCCCCTCGATATCCCGCAGCCTCCAGCCCATCCCAGCATCGACACGCCCGACTTCACCGCACACCAGCGAATGGGCCTTGATCTATCCGCCCAGCTCAACCCGCAGCAAAAGACGGTATTCGAGGGTGTTTGCCAGGCACTTGAGTCCGAAAACGGTCAATGCTTCTTTGTCGACGGCCCGGTGGCAGCGCGGGAAGACCTTCCTCTACAATGCTCTCATCCATTCAGCAATTGGTAGGGAAGACAAGGTATTGTGTGTTGCTTGGACCGGGATCGCCGCCAATTTGTTGCCAGAAGGCAGAACGGTCAGTAGCGCATTTCAGCTGATTGTAGCCCAGGATAGCAAAGTGTCCAGCATGAAGGCCCGATCCAAGGAGGCAAGGAGGGCGCTCAGCCAGGTCAAGCTCCATCGTCTGGGACGAAGCACCAATGGCTCCTCGCCGTGCCCTCGAAGCCGTCGACGCCTTGCTGCGCGGCATCAAGCAGTCGCCGCGCTGCCATTTGGTGGGGTTACAATGTGTTGCTCGGTGGAGATTTTCGGCAAGTCCTGCCAGTGGTGGAAAAGGTACCCGTGGCGACATGGTAGCCCTTTGCATTAAAATTCGCCTCTGTGGGCCCACTTCAGGCAGTACAGATTGACTACAAACATGCGAGTACGGGATGCCGACACCGATTGGAAGGACTGGCTGATCGAGCTTGGGGACGATGTTCTGCCCAGGGACGAGGACGACCAGATCGATGTTCCCCGGAACTGTGCACTCGAGCCGATCTTG